GTTCTTTCAGCTGTAAAACAGCCACATGTCGTGTCTTGCAGCTGACATTTAGAAGGTTATGAGCCGACAGCAGCAGCGAGCATGTCGCGGCGTGCCCACGTCTGGACTGGATACAGCTGAGATAACGTGGAGAATAACCATCCTGTCAGACAAACAAACACGACCCTCGTTTAAAGCAAATCTTAAATCTTTAACTTGTTATTTTAAATCTCTGGCAGGTGTTTGAACTCAGATAACAGCTGAAACAATGAAACGGTTTTTATTCTCATTCATGGAACTGAGTGTTTTAGTGATTCCAGCTGAAGCAGCTCCTCTTCATCCTCTGACGTCTGAGGAGGAAKTCAGGATGATGAAGAGGAGGAATGATGCTCTCAGCTGAGCGGTGATTCCCTGCTGCAGCCGGGCAGAACCAATCAGAACCACCGGAGAAACCCGGCACATCTTCAAACATTCTTCACCAGAACATGTCTGCCTTAAAGGGACAGTTCATATATTCTGACTTAAGACTGGAGTCCTGAAGATTAATACATTTGACTTAATGAGGCGTGTTACTACAAATTAAAAGTATGTAAGCTTAAAAGGATCAAACTTTAAATAAATAAATTTAAATTTAATAAACATAAAATTTACAGCATCCATCTTATGAACACAAACAGCCTTAAAAACTCAAACAGGAAAACAATAATGTGACTGCATAATCATCATTTATACAATTTATACTTGATTTTTAAAGATTAAGGCACCTATTTGTAAATTTACGTCCATTTTAACTCCCAAAATATAGTTTTCCAGTTTATTTACTTCTGCACCGTTTTCCATTAACCTATGATAAAATAATTGCTAAACTTAGATTTAATCAACTTTTAAAACAACAAATAAAACTAAAAAACACAAAATAAATAATAAATCCTTAGTTTTGAAGAACTGGTCACTTTAAATTACTTTACTGAAATAAATAAACCAGTTAATGTCTGTGAAAATGTGACTTTTGCTCACGTTTCCTATTTTTTCTAATAATTTCCAGACTAAAAGCCAAAATTCAGCCAAATATAAAGTTTCAAGATAAACATTTGGTGGCTGTAAATCTGGAAATGATGTCGATGTTTTCCAACGATGGAAAACTGAAAGGAAGTTTCTGTTTCTGTTCGTTTCATTAAGTTGTTTTTGTTTGAGTGGAGCAGAAATTATTACTGTTACATCGAATTAATATAACATAATCCTGTTGTTCAGATATCTATTTTTGATAATAATAATACTAATAAAATAATAGTTTTTATTCCATAAAACATAGATTAAGATTTTTGATGTTTTTTACTTTAAGCTACAACAATTTGTAGCAAAAAGCTGTCAACTTTACAGAGTTAAGCTATAAAGTGGTGTGGTAGTAGCTGAGGATCATCTCTAACACTCAGTCTGAGCTTCACATAAAGTTGAGTTCTTCAAAAGATTTTTTTATATTTTGTTTTGTTTCTACGCTGTACTTTGGTTATGAAGAGGGTTTTATTATCAGTTACAAACCATCTTCTTGCTGATTAAAGTATTATTTTTAAATAAAACTGGACTTTTCTCAGGCCCTCTGGAGAACCTGATAGATTTTAATAAGACATTCTGTTAAAAGTTGGAGGAGAAACCAGGAGAAGAGCGCGTTCAGGATGGAGGCTTTGACTTAATTATCTGGCGAGAAAACTTCATAGCGTCTTGTTTTCTTATCAAACAGACTTGTGTTTGAACAGGCTGCACTTTTGTTCTCTTTTTCAAAAATACTTTTTTTTCAGCTCTCTGCCCGCATCGCTCCTCGATGCAATGCTGTCTTTATCTCCCGTCCACATTCTTCATCCTCAAACTCAGCCTGACATTGTTCCTCTGTCTGCTGTTTGAAACTCAAGTCTTATTGATTTGTGGGTTTTGGATCCGTTCTCTGTTGCAGAGGAACATATAAAGATGGGAAAACCATCAGTTTCAGGTGATTAAATCTTAAACAACCAAAGCAGAAAGTACTCACTGTAATGTTGTGTTTTAACATCACATTAATACGAGTCCTTGACTTCAAAAACGTCTCAGAACACCAGAATTTTTCCAKTTGTAGACCTAAAAGTAAAATCTGCCTGTTTGTGTTCATCATTGTACCTATTGACTTTAGGACCAACCCTACTACTAAACTGTCAACTAACTAAACTACCTGCTGACCTAAAGTTCAACCTAAAAACATCTTACCTACTTATCCACCTACCTGTTGACCTTATGACTAACCTATCTACCTGTCAACCAACCTAYCTACCTATTTATCTACCTAACTGTTGACCTTATGACCAGCCTATCTATCTATCAATCAACCAAGCATCCAACCAACCAACCAACCAACCAACCAACCAACCAACCAACCAACCAACCAACCAACCAACCTAAATGTTGAACTTAGGACCAACCTATCTACCTGCCAACCAACCTACCTACCTACCTATTTATCTACATAAATGTTGACCTTATGACCAATCTATTTACCTGTCAACCAACTTACCGACGTACTTATCTACCTAACTGTTGACCTTAGGACCAACCTATCTACCTGTCAACCAACCTACCTACCTATTTATCTACTTAACTGTTGACCTTATGACCAACCTATTTACCTGTCAACCAATCAACCAACTTACCTACNTTACCTGTCAACCAACCTACCTACCTATTTATCTACTTAACTGTTGACCTTATGACCAACCTATTTACCTGTCAACCAATCAACCAACTTACCTATGTACTTATCTACCTGACTGTTGACTTTATGACCAACCTATTTACCTGTCAACCAATCAACCAACTTACCTACGTACTTATCTACCTAACTGCTGACCTTAGGACCAACCTATCTATCCAACTTTAAACCATCCTACCTCCCTAACTGATGACCTTAGGGTCAACTTAAGAACTATCTGTGTTTACCTACATGTTAAGTTTGGTACCAACCTACCAACTTATCTATTTAACTGCTGACCTTAGGACCAGCTACCCAAATTTCAAACGTCCTACCTCCCTAACTGATGACCTTACGATCAACTTGAGAACTGATGGACTTGTTTACCTACATGTTAACCTACATACTTACCTACCTATTGGCATTAGTAACAACCTATCTACCTGTCAACAAACCTACCTTACTGCTGACTTTAGGACCAACCTGTCTACCTAACTTTCAAATATCTTGCCTACCTACCTACCTGCTGACCTTAATACAGGGGTGGGCAATCCTGGTCCTTGAGGGCCGCAGCCCTGCACGTTTTATTTTTTTCTCTGCTCAAACAC